AATGAGTTTAATCAATTAATCTCATATCGTTGGAGCTTCCAATATGTAGGTCCATTAGATCCCCTTGCTAGCTCATAAAGGATAGTTAAAAATAGTTAGTCTTGAAAAGAATTTGAATTATTCAAATTAGTTAAAGGGAATTAAGGTTAATTGTACGAGATGCAATTAATATAATGTATGTTGATACATTATAATATAAAGTTAATTTTGAATTGGATTCAAAATTATAAGAGATATGAATATTAGAATTTGATTCTAATATAGTTGATTAATTTAAGTTTAATTAAATTAAATTAATGTGATATATTAATTTGGTTAAATTAAATTAGATTTAATTAAATTAAATTAATAGTTTTTTATAATTAATTAAATTAGATTTAATTAAAATAAAAGGAAAAAATAGGGAAAAAGAAAATGGGAGTGGTGGAAAGTGGGAGGTTTTCCTACTTCCCATATTTAATAGTGGGAAGTGGGGAAGTGATTGGGGAAGTGGTGACTTCCCCCTCACTCCTCCTTTCCCATAAAATGGAGGCTCTCTCATTCCCTTTAATGCTCGAACGTCGGTTGATAGAGTTTCTGAAACTTTAAACGAGAAAAGCTATCTCTCGATTTCTCAACTCCCTGTCAATTATAAGACGGTTCCCACAAACCGAATTCTTAATATCCAGAGGATAGCAAGAAAGACTTTGTGGTGGCGTTGGTGTCTATATTAAAGAGGTGTCTTCAAAGGTATGTATCACTAATTTATCCTTCATTCATGTTTATATGTCTTTTCTTTGTTGTAATTATATGACAAGATCGAAGTACACATGTTCGCGCGCTTCCGCTGCGGGATCTGATCCCTTCAGGTCACACTAATCAATCTCCGATCTAATCTTAAAGGTAAAGCTCGGGTAGGAGGCTTGTGTATTTGTACGAGATGCATGTGATGCTAAATCAAATTAATTATAAAATAATACAACATTTTAAAAAAACAAAGCAAACAAAAAAAACATATATAATAGGATAATAAATGATAAAAAATAATGGCTTGACTCTCAAAAGGTCTCCAACGGAGTCACCAAGCTGTTACAACGTCATTGCGACACGGAGCGACCGACGTCATTTCCTGAAGGGTCTCTTTCGAGATAAGGGTTTGGAGTCACCACCAATTATCTATGAGGTGGGATTGGTCACCTATTTTAAAAACTTGGTCTACGAAAAACAGATTTTAGGTTCGGGAGTCAATTGAGCGTATAGGGAATGTGTTAGCACCTTATGACACCCGTTCGAAAATGGTACCAAATATTGTCAAACATTATCCCATTATTTTATTTGATCCAAAAGAAAACTATTTTTGTATTTTGATTGGAATGTCTCACGTTATATTAATTCACACTTTGTTATAAGACATGAATTAATAGGTATGAGTGGCACGAAGACCATTAGAAAAATTTTATCAATTCGAGAACATTGGAAGGTTCTAATTTCTGTCATTGGGGTTTTTGAAATAATTATTTAGTAGAAAAAAATCAATAAATAAAAACATAATTTTAGTTCACGGCACATCAATATTCAAACCTCTTGCCAATGTGTCAACACCTTGGAATACTATTTAATTTCTTTTTTAAAACATAAATGTTTTATTGTTTGAAATTTGTTTTAAAAGTAAAACTTCATTTTGCTTGGATTTGAAATCCGTATAAAACAAACTTCCTTAAAACTTAAAAAAAAAACATTTAAAATAAACTTGTTAAAAAAAATCAAATTTAAAACAAACTTCTACAAAAAAAAAATCAAATTTAAAACAATTTCATTTAAAAAAGAATCATATTTAAAACAAACTTATTATAAAAAAAAAATCATATATGTAAAACAAATTTATTTTAAAAAAAATTATTTTAAAAAAATCGAATTTGAAACAAACTTATTTTAAAAATAAAAAGAATCAAATTTAAAACAAACCTATTTAAAAAGTCAAATCATTTCCCAAAGCATTTTTTTACAAACCAGAGAGGAATTTCTTCATGTGTCCATAGGTCTGAAGTCGGAGCACTTGAGGTGGGAGTCAGGTTGTCGAAATTTCATGCTATTGCAGGTGGGTAGCCCGGTTCGTTATATTATTGTTGTCCGTCGGGATTGTAGAGCTTTGCGTCGGACTACTGTGCTGCGAGTTGTCGAAACTTGTGGTCGCCGGGGACATGTGCAGCCGGAGTATCATCACTAGAGGTCGTTGGGCCTGCCTGCCGATGTCGTGGGGTCGCCAGTGTGGGTGGAGAAGAAGAGAAGGTGATGGTGGAGAGACAGGAGGAAATGAATGAAAATTTATTTATTCCTCTTCTCTGTATGGATTCTCTGTGTGTCATTTCCCTCTCCACTAGCCCTTCTTAAATACACATAAATATAATGGTAAAAAAGGGAGAGGACACACATGAAGGAAAAAATCAAACGAGGGAAAAAACAGTTTTTTAAATCTTATAACCAATTAAATAAAATCCTAATAAAACTAATTATTTTCAAACAAAATCTATTTTTAAAATTTTATTTTATTTAATTAAAGCTTGACATTAAAACTTATAATAAAGTAAATTATGTTATTTTAAACTAAATCAATAAACATAATAAAATAAATCAATAATAATAATGACTTTTTTAATTTTAAAAACGAGCCGGACCAAATACGGTGTCTACAAAATAGATATATAAAATGTCTTTCAAGTAAAATACTGAGATCAAAGTGAAATTTTTCGAAATAGATTGTATGCATAATACTTTCGAACATGATCTGAGTTGACTGGATTTAAAATCTCGCGCCATCCAACTTGGCCATAACTAATTTTCCTCCATGGAAAGCCTTTTTTTCCACAAATGGTCCTTCATAATTTGGTGTCCATTTGCCTCAATGATCTTTCTGGAACGGAAGGATTCTTTTTAGAACTAAATCTCCCTCTCTAAACCTTCGTGGATGCACCTTCTTGTCATAGGCTTTCATCATTCTTCTTTGGTAAAGTTGTCCTCTGCATAATGTCGTCAATCTCTTTTCTTTTACAAAATTTAGAAGCTCATAATGCCTTTGGACCCATTCAGCCTCTTATAACTTAGCTTCCATGATAACTCTCAATGATGGAATTTCTACTTCAACAGACCATAAACTAATGAAAATGGCATTGCCCCAGTTGACGTACGGACTGAGGTGCGATAACCATGTAAGGTAAATGGAAGCATTTTATGCCAGTCCCTGTAAGTTACAGTCATCTTTTCAACGATTCTTTTTATGTTTTTGTTGGTAGCTTCCACTGCACCATTCATCTTAGGTCGATAAGGAGTTGAGTTGAGATGTTTGATCTTAAACTGCAGGAGACATTAAAACAATGAAACATGTGGCTCTACTACCTTTTCTTAGGAAGAGTCTTGGTAAGTTCAAATTTCACTTTTTTATTTAGTTCAAGTAGCGGATATTAGAATTTATAACCATTGCATTTACTGGTTGAAGAATATAGTTTGTAGTATTTTGGATACAATTCTAAACTCTCAATGTTTCTTTATTCATAACTTAGGGATCTTATCATTTTTTCAATTCCCTGTTTTGGGTAGCACAATATTTGCATGGATTGTAAAGCCTTTGTAGAGCAATCAAAGGTATGTGGTAAATATAATTTTCATTACTTTATCTAATTAGCTTTTAATAGGTAAAATTATGAATCATTTATACATTTCAATATGTGTTAGACCATATTAGTGAGCTAGCTCTACTTGATATTTTGCTTATTTTGTTCATTTTATTGATTTAGTGAAGCAAATTGTTGTTACTTGATAAAAGAGATTAATTTATGAAATTTGTCAGTAATGTTGTGAATATAGCTAATCAAATTATGTTAGAAGAGGATTGATGTGCGTAGTTATTCATTTATCTAATTTGAGTATTGTTTTATTCATTAGGTATTTCACGAACTCAAAGAAGTCAACAATTAGGAATGCAACTAATTGATGAATGAGCATCTTTGTTGGGTTGGTGTGTGAAACATGTTTCATTTTGTATTCTGTACTTGTAGTAGTTTAAACATGGTATGTGTAAAGAATATTATTATACTAGCAAATTGTAGAATACTTTGAACTTGTACTAATTTGAACATGTTGTGTTTAATATATTGTGCTAGCAAATTGAAGAATACTTTGTTCCTATATGATTTCAACTTTGTTATATAAATTCATGTCTTCACGATGTCGATCGACGATTTAATTATATGAAATTTGTCTTCCGTGACGTCTGTCAGCAAAATCGCATCTATTTTCTGTGGCGTTTTCTGATCGTCACAAAATATAATTTTTCGTGACATTTTTAAAACGTCACAGAATCTATTTGTTATGATGTTCTTAAAACGTCACAAAAGCTTGTCACATATGACCTTTTTTCGCTGCGAATTCTCTTTTCATGATGTTGTTTAACTGTCATAAATTCTAATTCAGTCACGATAATTCATTTACCGTGACGTTTTTTACATGTCACAAAAAGTAGTATTCGTGACGGTCTAAAAGCATCACGAAATCATTTTTCTTAATGTCTTAACGTTAAAAAAGTGTTACGAAAGATGATATTTTGCATGACGTTTTTAAATCGTCACAAATGCTATTTTTCGTGACGTTTTAAAAACGTCTCGAATACCTTTCGTGATTGGGGCATAGGTGACGTCGTTAAAAACGTCATGAAAGGATTTTGTGATATTTGAAAAACGTCACAAGAACCCAAATTTCTATAGTGTGTGTATATATATATATATATATTTCAAGATTTAATAATATATGTATAACTTTAATATTCTTCGGCCAACTCGAGCATAGCTTTCAACCGATCAAGATAGGAATTGTGGGTTGAAATCTCCAATATAGATGTTCCTAGATATAAAAAATAATGATAATAATAATAAAAAACCTCTAGTATTCTTTTCAAATGAAAAAAGAATATATTTACAAGACGTAGCTTTTTTTTTTTTTTTCTCACATGTTTTTGCTATGCTCAATTTTCATGGACGATTCTGAAAAACAATAGAACAGCGGCAGAGTGGGCAACGGCTCTCAATCTTCAGCCACCGATCGATACAATCCTTATGGAAAAAATGGCCGCAATTTTCAATAACTCCACACTTCTCTTCCTCCGCAAATCCCTCAATGCAGATCGCGCATCGGCCGCCGCAATCCCTAATTTCCTCTCTGTAAGCCACCGCGGAGGCCGGAATTTGCTCCGCCGTCTGCGGTTGCGATCTGGATTCGGTGTCGTGGACTCTTGTCTTGTAGTAATGGAAAACGAACATTAACGAAATTGAAAAAGCACAAACCACCGCCACGAACATGAATCCGCTGGCGACCCATAATCTGCGTGTCAGGTGAAAAGTATTCCGGTGGATGGCCGCCGTCGTCTGCGGCGGAGGAGACGGGGAAATTAGCATGGTTGAATCATGAATGAAGCTGAAGTTCTGATTGAATTCAATGAATCGTTATATATAAAAGAGGGAATTCGATTCCTGCTTTTAATTTGGAAAGTTCCTTTACATTAGGAATGTGATTCCCTTCTTTTGCAGTTCAAAACTAGAATTTCTAAAAGTATTTTTTTATAGGTAGAAAATGGGACGTACTCTAAAATATTTATGGATGTTAACACTTCGTATGACAAAACATAATTTCAAAAGTATTAACAATTATGTTGGAGTGATCAATTTTTTAGTTATCGGTTTTTTAAAATGAGGTTAATTTAAATCGAAAAAAATTTCGCTCGTGCTAGTTTGGGAACTGTTAATATATTTGACAACTAAGAGAGAGAAATACAAAAAAAAAAAAGTTATCACGTATTTAATGGTGCTTGATATTTTCATATTTCTAAAAGTTGGGACATGCATTTTCATTATATTTTTAAAATAGTGACGGAGCATCAAAATATTATTAGTTTAAATAAATTGTTTGATAATTTTACATATAACATGATATATAATTTTAAATTTACATATGGGTGAAGTATTAAAATATTGGTGAAATATTAAAAAATTATTATTTTAAATAAATTCTTTTAAAAATTTACACATAATATGTTTTTTATTTTAGTTTATCAACGTTCAAAAATTCTTCTTACTCAAACTAGCAATAAAATGGTACTTTAAGTGAAAATGAATAAAACTTACGGGTCGTTTGGAAATGTTCTTTCTTGTTTTTGTTTCTACATTCTTAATAAATAAATATGAATTGTATATTGGTCCCAGTAATTCACGCCCCACCTACAGTTCCTTTCTTTCGTTTTTTTCTCAATCAATTCCTTTTTTTCCAAACAAAAGCAACACACCAGAATTATGATGAAAACAAATAGCAAACCTGAAAAATCAAAACTCACACAATCAACTAAGAAAGCATCAACGATTATATATCCAATATATGAATTAAATTTACTCAACCCATCAGGTTAAATTTTTAGATTGAGTAGTGATGTATTCATCCTTAAAATGTTTAAAAGATAAATAAACACCGCTCAATCTAAAAATTTAAGTTGATGGGTTTAGTAAATTTAATTCGGATATATAATCGTTGAAAAAAAATTCTAAAAAAATGAAAAAAAAAATCTACTTTTTTCTTTTCCACGTGACTCAATCACTCTTCCACGTTTCTGCAAACTTACTGAGAATTATGCCAAGTAACGTTTTAAAAGAATATTAAAATGTAAAATACTAAATAAAACTGTGTATTGAAAAAGTCCTCAAACATATATTTAACCCCAATATATTGCTAAATTTTATATCGATTCAATATTATACATATTATAAAAATAAACGACCCTTCTTGTATCTAAACTTCGACACTTTGTGGAATGAAAACAAATCGGTAGCTATTCTTAAAAATTTTAATTAAATGACTTTTATAATTTACTATTAATGATTTTTTTGGCTTGATTAAAAAAATAATATCCCTCAACTGGTTTTAGTGGACCTTTTCCTAAACATTTCAAAAAATATCCTTTAAGCATATATCTATTAATATTTTGAATGGAAAGATGACACGATAAACCGTTGATTTTTAATGTGGTCAATTGTAGGTCCATTATTGATTTTACCTATAAATTTATTTTACCATTATTAAAGTTCAAATTTATTGTAGTGTTCAACTAATTCTTTTTTTTCATTAATTAACAAATTGTTAAACATTCTGTCACATCAAATTTTCATTGAAAATATTAATGAATATGTGCTCCAATATACTATTGTAAATAGTTTATGAAAGATAAGGGTAGTATTAAAACTTTTGAAACGGTAAAGTTATTTTCAAAAAAAATGACAAACTCCACTTATACTTTTAAGAATTTAGTTTCTTTTTTTTTTTTTAAATGGAATGACATTCCTAATTGAGCTTGGTTACGCATAAATATTAAATATCTTAAAAGAAAAACATTTAAAATATATATATATTGTTAACTAAAGTTCGAAATTGGAAAAGGATTCGAATTCCGTAATAGTTTTGGATTCTTAGAAGCTCTCTATAAATAAATAAATAAAAGAAAAAGGAAAAACTTTGGATTAAAACTCACAAAAATAATCATGTCGATTCTTGGAGCATCAGTTAGGTTTCCGTCAACGTTATCTTCGGAGGCGCCGTTAGACGCCGTGAACCGAACTCTGTTAGATTTCGATTTAGGACTCCCAATTAACCGGGAGTTGAAGACTGCGATGGTCATGTTCCTCGCCTGC